CTACCTTGAAAGGGAAATCCCTTACTGTAATGCACTCTCCACCCCCCCCCCCAAAAAAAGAGTAGAGGAAGAAAAGTTCTACAAAAGGATGAAAAAGTTACTGTAGCTAGTAACTTGGCAAGGAAGCAGCAAATGAAAGGGAAAGATTGAAGAGCAGCATCACAAGGTCAAATTTCCAGCAGCCGCTCTGCGTCACTCTCGTCTGAACCCCAACTGTGAGGTTTTCTCTCCAAAGAGAGAAGCAAAAACCAACGGGGATTAAAGGACTAGAAAAACTTTAAAAACCAGACATAGACACAAGAACTCACAAAATATAGCAACTGGAGGACCCTCTGTGTGGAAAGAATAGTGCTCTCTGCCTCACTGACCCTTGCTAATACTGTATCAGTATAATATAGTTACAATGATATATATAATACATATAATGACATTTAAAGAGCATTATATAGTTACTATGACAGCAAGGTTAAATTGTGTCCTTATACCTGGTCTACTGAGAGGGATAGATGTGATCCATTTTAGAAAGAATTTGAAACAGTTTCAATGGGATGTTTTGATATATGGTAAACGCAGTTATCAAGATGAGGTGATTCTCCAGTCGGGGCTCTAGCCTGCCCTGACGGTTACTGTGGGGCTGACCAAGAGGACACCAAGCTCCCCAAATGCTGGTGGAGAGTCTACAGGCAGAGATGCGGTGGGTGTGAAGGAGAATAACCCAGACATATGCTCAGGAGAGCTTAAGGCCTCCACTGGGTTGAATAGTGTCTCCCCAAAATTCACATCCACCTGGAACCTCAGAATGTGACCTTATTTAGAAATGGGGTCTCTGCAGATATAATTAAGATGAGGTCATTCTGGATTAGGGTGAGCTCTAAATCCAATGACTCTTGTCCTCACAAGAAGGCCATGTGAAACACAGACACACGGAATAATGAGACTGCAGAGCCAGTGCCTGGAATGGCGCAGCTACAAGCACAGGGCTGTAAGAGATTGCTGGCAACCAGCCAGAACCCAGGACACAAGAAAGGACTGTCCCCTCGAGCCTTTAGAGGCAGCATAGCTCTGCTGAGACCTTCCTTTTGTTACTGGCTAATGCACTGAGCAGCTCAAAAGTCTGTTTTGACCCAATTCTATTTCGAGACCCTAAGGTTTCTAAAGCACCCAAAGTCTTGTAAGGTTGTTTTTAAGAGACGCAGTCACTAACTCTTCTAAACCAACCTGGCCTACTCCACAGGACTGATACCTGTGCAGACGGGCCAACAGGCGTGGAGGGTTGCATTTGCCACATCATCATAGTAAAATCCCCACTCAGGGGGAAGCTCTAACAGGAATCTAGGCACAACATGTATGTAGAAACATGATTGGCTAATGTGCCCATGCTGACTTCACTCTCTCTGCATGTAATGACAAAACTTTCCCTTTTAAATATTCATTTCCCCCACTCAGAATAAAAGGAACCTGCTTTCCCTTGCTCAGCAGGAGGCTTGGCTTTGAAAAGCTATTTTCTATGGTCTCCATATTTGCTGTAAATAAAATTTCCTCTGAGTGACAGCTACTTCTGGTGAAGCCTTTTGATTTCAGCTATTAGTCTTAAAAGTAAAACTGTCAGTTATTTTACGAGCAAAATGGGTCTATTGAGGAATAACAAAGAACTGCAATTAGTAACAAAAAAAGGTATGATGGCTGCTCATTGGCTGAGTTGTAACAGTTTCTCACTGGCTGGGCTGTTGCTGGGGAGGCAGAAACTCTTCCCTTCTCCTACTGGGGTGGTAAAGTAGCCAAAATAGAATGAGTTGTTACCAGCCGTCTGTCTCTTCCTATGGCGTCTAGGACCGACCAGGAGAGGTGGGTGTGAGAGCTCTCCCTGAAGGCCTTCCCACACCTTGTCTGTGAGGCTTTCCTTTTATCAATTTTCACACAACTCACCAAGAAACAAACTCATGTCAGGCTGGTAAAACACTTTTGGACTTTTGTTAGCCTCCGGGACTGTGAAAGCACACATTTTGGTTGTGTAAAGCAACCTACTTTGTGGTTATTTGTTACCAGAGATCTGTTAAAAAATAAAATTCAACCAAGTAAATTTGAAGATCTAATTGGCTTTATTAAATGATTCGTGAATGGAGCAGCATCTCCCCTAGCAAGTAGAGAACCTCCAAAGGGCTACAGAAAGGGGGAGGTTTTTAAAGACAAGACAAGTCATAAGCAAAACAGGATTATTTCTGGTGAGGTCTTCAACTGGGGACAAAAGAGTCTTAGTAGGTGAATTACCTCATCTTTCTTGAGAGGATGGAGAAGGCACATGTGACATTATCTTATGCTGTGTGGGTAAAGTTGTAATATTTCCAGAATATCTTGCCTGGCCTTAGTGCATTTGCATTCTCAGGGGTGGAGAGAAGTATGGCTTTAGTGCATTTACAGGTCAATAAGCTTTCCTGGGGGTGGAGAGAAGTTCATCTCCATATCAATGGGTAATTACCTGGGCAATGGAGGGCTTATCTGGACCTAGGAGGTGAGAAGAAGAGCTGGTTTTTGCTTCTGCAAGTAGGAGAGAGAGAGAAGGCTCTGGACTGCAGTTTTGTAGGCAATAAAAGGATTTTAAACTTCATTTCTCCCTTTGACTGATTTCGGTTTTAGAGGTATTTTGCCCCTGTGAGACAGGGACGATGGATGTAGTAAGAGCAGGGTGAGGGCCTCTTGAAAAAGCAGGGCAGAGTATTTCCAGTCAGACCAATGTAACAATGTGCAAAGAAGTCCCTGTGGAAACTCTGTGTTAAGCATTATGCAAAATCAAGGTCACACTAATTCTCTAGGGTAAAGATACCAGACTAGGAGTATAAATGTCTTCAGTGAGATCAGTTAAAGGTCAAGAGCAACTTGACCTGGAACGTTTGAGTGTTTCACACATAAAGAAGGGTATCTCAGCATAACCTGTGACTTCACTGTAAACAGCCATAGCAAACAGACAACAACCCAGCCCACCTTGAGGGCAGGGCAGGTGGTACAAGTTCACCCCTAAGCCTTTTTTTCACATTCCCCCAAATCCTCAGTTGCCTATAAAACCCCTAGACAACGCACCATCATGGACTCTCTTTTCCCCTAGGAGCTCTCTCCTTTTACTTTATCTCTAAATAAAAGCCTGTACCTTGCTCTCCTACCTTGAGTGTTTGCAAAGATCATTCTTTGGCTCCATGAACAAGAACTTCGGCATAACCGGGATTTCCTCTTCCCGGCTGACTTGAATATTCTTGACTTACTACATTCCTGGGGGACACTACATTTCTGGGGAACGTTGAAACTGCAGTTTGGTTAGATATTAAGCCCTGGTATGATGACTTGGCCTCGCAAAAGTGACCCCATGCTGGTTCGGTGTTTTTCTTTTTAACAGCATTTAGTTCTTTTTGTGGGGGAGGATAACATAATGTTCAAATATTTTGAAACATCTTTAAAAAAATAGTAAAACCTATATATGTTTTTGTTTATATTTATTATACATACTATATATATGGTTTATAATAGATACACATATATATGCATAAGATAAATTCCAATAAATTTCTATTGAAGTAAGCAAGCGAAGAGAGGCAACAAAGGGCCAGGTAGTTTATTTGAATGCCACCCCCGGGTGATGTTCCATGGTCTGAAACACAGGCCGGGGAAGTCACACCCAGCAGGGCAGGCAGCAAGTTTTTAAAGAAGGCAGGGGGAAGGAGAGCAAAGGTGTACAGTAGCACGAGGATTGGCTCATCTAGGGTGCGTGGGGGTCTCTCATTGGCATTTAGCCAGGTACTGGAAAGTTACCACTAATCCTTTAGTTTGGCGAAGGGCTCTAGTTGGGAGGGTTATCCCATCAGGCTCTGGAATGTTGTCAGATTGGAACCTGTTGGTCTCTTGGCCTCTTTTGGTGAGGCCTGAGCTTGTCCATCAGGCTCACCCCTTCCCCTGATGCCTGCAGCCTAACAATATGCTAAAACAAATAGACCCCACCAGGTAAATGGTTTAACAAAGTAAAGTGTATTAACTATAGTAAAACGTAAAACAATAAAAGAGTACTTTTGAGCTAATTCGAATTAGTTTCCCAAGAGCCCAAGTATTAACAAATTTGCTGCTATGAAGAATGTTAATTGGCAGGACCTTGCTTAGAGGGCACTGTGGCAGTAAAGGGGAAAGCCTTCATAATTTGCATACCCGGTGTCCTAGAGATTTCTCTTCTGTCAGTTTTACTTTAGAAATAACGTGATTTCCCGAAGTAATTCTTAAGCTGCTAGCATTTGTAGCGCTGGCTGGATTTCCCAAATTTGTCTCGTGGGAATCGCTGGTGAACTCCCTGTAGCGGGGAGAGGGGTTCTCAGGTCAGAGCGCGCATTAGTTGGAATCGCCAAGGCAGGTGTTTTTGTATTGTTTTTTAACAGGAGTCGCCTCTGGGGGTACGAAGCAAGCCCTAGTATCTACAAGGCTTCCTGGGGGCTTCCACCACAGCCACAGCCCAGATTCAGCGCCCTGGGGCAGACTAAGTAAAAAGTTGCACAACTTTGGTTTGGTGTTTATTGTAGATATTTTCCCGAAATCTTGTTAAGATAACCATGTACAGAAAGCTCAAGTGCAGTATAATTCCATTTCTGCAAAAAAGTATGACTGGAACTTAACCTTGTAAGAAATGTGATCATTCATTGCATTAAAATTTTTACCATTACTGTCATGTATGTTACATTAAAAATAGTGGAATCTGAAATGCATTTTTCCAGACAATAACGTAGCCCACATTTAATGACGCCGGCTAGTGACAGGCCCTGTTCTGGGAGCGCCTAGGCTCGCTCGCCTGCGCGCACAGCCCACACAGGCCGACCATCGCGTTGCAGGACCTCCGCAACCCGAGACACCAGCTCCGCCGCGCTCCCGCAGGCCCTGCCCCATTTCCGGCCTCTTCACCCCGCCCACAGCAGTCCCCGGATCTTCTCCCTGGCTTCGCTCCAACAGCCTCGCTTCCCTGCGGGCAGCCCTCTTCTCCGCGGTCATCTGGCTTCCTGCGGCGTTTTGTTTGCGACGCTGTCGTGTAACGGCGCGCTTTCCGGCCGGGGGGACGAAGCCCGCGACTGGGCCACTGCGGCCGGAAGAGGGGTCAGGCGAGTGAGGTTGATGCCCGGCGGCGGGGCAAGCGCGGCGTCTGGCCGGCTTCTCACCGCCGCGGAGCAAAGGGGGGTCCGGGAATCGGTGGGGTCGGCGTCCAGGAGCGGCCCAGTGGGTTTCGGCTCCGGCGGCAGAGGCGGCTCAGGCGGCCCCGGGCCGGGGAGTGGAGGCCCGGGGGGCCCCGCGGGCAGAATGAGCCTGACCCCGAAGGAGCTCTCGAGCCTGCTGAGCATCATTTCGGAGGAAGCGGGCGGCGGCAGCACCTTCGAGGGCCTGTCCACCGCCTTCCACCACTACTTCAGCAAGGCCGACCACTTCCGTCTGGGCTCGGTGCTCGTCATGCTGCTGCAGCAACCAGACCTGCTGCCCAGCGCAGCGCAGCGCCTCACGGCGCTCTACCTGCTCTGGGAGATGTACCGCACCGAGCCGCTCGCCGCCAACCCCTTCGCCGCCAGCTTCGCGCACCTGCTTAATCCCGCGCCGCCCGCCCGCGGCGGCCAGGAGCCCGACCGGCCGCCGCTCTCAGGTACGCGCCGGGGGCGAAGCCGCTCCCGCCGCGGCAGCCTTTCCCTCCCGAGGCCAGTTGGGCCTTAGCAGTGGATTCGGCTGTTTTCCACCTGCGCTTCTGGGATTCAACCGCTTAAAATGGTCTCTTTTGAAATAACTGCGTCCCCCCCACCCCCGTCCGCAAAGTATGGATAACTGGTAGCTTAATCACAAATTTATGATACCGAAAATTACTCCTCGCAGCAGTGCAGGTTGTCAAATCATGCAGCTGGGTGTGGGGCTTGACATTTTAGTACCTCAAATGAAGTTTGTTCTTGCAAAGCTGGTCTGAGGTGTGTGAAGTTGTAGCTAATGACCGCTGGGCCTGCTCCGGTTTTAAGTCTCAGACGAATAAATAGAAGTCATTATTCATGACCCGAAGAAGTTGGGCGAAAATACACATCAAACAGCGTTTAAGGGCCTGGCAGCCACCTTCGTTAATCTTTTCTTGGGTAAGGAGATGGAACAGAGGATAGGAGGTAGTCTCAAACTCCCGGCCTGGGTTAGAAAACGCATTGCGTGCACCATGGTGAGATCCCATCAGTGGGTTCCATGCGAGGCTTTTATTTATTTTTAACTCAAACATGAGATGCTTTAGGAGACTTACCTCCAAGAGAGGAAAGACACAGGAGATGGTGATGAGAGAGAAGGGTACTTGAAGACTTTGACAAGAACCAGGGTAGTCGGGGAAGCAGGCCGTTTGCGGTGGGAAACAGCTTGATGTTACCGTGCTTAACCAGTGGGGAAAAGGGCACATGACCATAGGTACGGACCACTTACTCAGAGTCGGAAGGTTAAGGCAGCAGATTTTTAGGTAACATCAGGGAGTTACTTTTGTGGCACAGGAGGGCTTCTCTATTTTCAGTAGTTAGTGTTACCTGCCTGGCAACCCCTTTGCATCTAAAGCATCTTCTATTTGGTTTCCTGCACTGTCTTTGTCTAAGAGGGGCGGCTTTTATGTTGTATGAGATGCTCTTTCGTACAGGTACTGAACCAGGCTTTCAGGAAATTTGAGAATGCCTAGAAAGTAAACATGACATGGGTGTGTGGTCAAGACCCACTACCCTAGGGGGCCGTCAGCAGAGGGTGTGGGCAGTGTGGGATTTAGGTCAGAGGGACATTTGGATTCTGAAGGACAGGTTAGGCAAAGAAACCATGACTTAGTTAATGTCATTCTCAGATACAGTGAGTTTAAACCTAGATCTAGGTCACAGACTGCATCATAGACACAAAAGTGCAAAGGAAGGAATCCATGGATTGGTTATTTTACCTCTTTGCCTCAGTTTTTTTTATCTATAAAATGCAGATAATTCCTAGCTGGTAGAATTATTCAGGAAAATTACAAGTACTACCCATTATCCTCATTACTTTTGTTAAAGTAGGTAAGGTTGGTGCTTGATACACAACAGGGAATGAGTCTGCTGTGAGCATCTAAGAGTGTATTTAAAAAAATTTTTTCAGATGATTCTGATGCAGAGCCAGAATTGTATGTGGAATTAAATAAGATGGCTACCTTGCACTCAAGAAGCTTGTAGTCTAGCTGGAGAGACATAAACATAGTTAAACATAGTTTTAACAGTATCGAAAGGGCTGTACTAAATGTCACATTCATGCAAAATCCTTGGTAGCACAGTAAAAACTACCTGTGTAGCAGGAGAATTTCTCAGAGTGGTGTTTTTGCTGTGGTCTTGACTAGACATGAATGAGGGTGTGGTGGAAAGGGAAGGGTGTGGCCCTGCTAGGTTTTCTCAAAGAAATGGGTGTATTGGATGTTCTGAAATCAAGAATTCTGAAAGATTTCGTGCAACTGGAGTGTATTAGATAAGAGAGGAGTTCAAGAAACGAGATTAGGGTCATGACCACAAGAAAGTCAGGACCAGATCGTGAAGGGCCCAGTAGTGGTGTAGGAGTGGGTTTAATTCTGTGTAAACAGGTTAAGAATGTGGACCTGGCAAATGTAACAGTACTAAGTGGTAGAGTGGAGTGCAGGTGGTGGGAGAGCAGCTAGGGAAATTGGGAAGGCTGTCCTGTAGTCCAGCAAGAGAGGGGGAGAGGGGACGGAGACCAGGGAATGGAGTCTGCCAACATTGCTGCTCTAGGATAGATGAGGCTGGGTGAGCAACTGAATATGGGATGAAAGGAAGCAAACCTTGAGCACTGTGGGAGTTCTGTAGCTGCATGTGTATTGAAGCAGGAATGTGAAGGGTATTTGTGTTGCTAGGGATTGCTTCCCCTTCTCTTCAACTTCTGCAGTTGCCGGTAGAGAAGAAAGAAAAGCACTTCTGAGCAAGTTTTTGTTTGGTTTTGGCTTTTGCAGGAATGGAAATACTAGAAAACAGAATTTTTAATACTTACATAAATCTTAAGTTTCATTGATAATGCCAAAACTCATAAAATTTCAAATGTATATTTGCATTAACTGAACTAAGTTTGTTTTTAAAGATACATGAGTTGAGATGGCAAGTAGTATATGGCAAATAAAATGCTAATTTTACCAGATTCAAGTTAATTTTTAAAAATAACCATTAGAGAAATCGTTATACATTTTTGTTCACAGGATTTTTACCTCCTATAACTCCACCAGAAAAGTTTTTTCTTTCCCAGCTGATGCTGGCACCCCCAAGGGAACTCTTCAAAAAGACGCCTCGACAGATTGCACTGATGGATGTTGGAAACATGGGCCAGTCTGTGGACATTAGTGGGCTTCAGCTGGCTTTGGCTGGTAAGGAGGAGTTGGTGGTGTGCGTGCTCTTGTGTGGTAGCATTAAGTCTTTTTTATTGAGGTACTCCACTTAAAATGAAGCTCTTTTTAACTGTGCTTAAAGGTTAGTGCCTTCTGTGAAAAACGTAGCTTCAGTACTGGGTCCTTGCTAATGTGACTTACAAATTCATCTCAAGTTTACTGACTGAATTGATTGCCTTTCCAGTTTAAGAAGAATGCTGGACAGGATTTAGTCTGTTTTGAACTTTTTTTCTGATGTCAGTTCTACTCAAAGTGATGTATAGATTCAGTGTAATCCCAACAATGTGTTTTTTAGAAATAGAAAAAAAATCCATTATAAAATTCACATGAATTCTCAAGGGACCCCAAATAGCCAAAACAACATTCTGTTGACATCCTTATTGAAGACCATTGGACCAAATAAGGGTTTATTTCTGGGCTCTCTATTCTGTATCATTGGTTTATATGTCTCTCTTCCAGTGCCACACTTTTGATTATGGTAGCTTTGTAGTAAATTTTGAAATCAGGAAACATGAAACCTCCACTTTGTTCTTCTGTTTCAATATTGTTTTGGCACCTGTGTTACACATATAAGCAAAGGAATGGGTGCTCTTGAAGGAAAAGTGTGTCATGATAGAACAGGAAACATTCTTTTACTGGGTGGTCAGAGTGAGCCTCTGAGCAGTGAAGGATAAGAAGAGGTACCTTTTGCTTGCCTGCTTTAGCAAAAATAACAGATTTGTGAGTCTTACCACTTGAGAGTGATTCACAGGGAATTCTAATACATAGCTGTGTATGTGAACCTTTAACCTTGTGATTAACTGAGCTGCAGTACTAATTTTGTGAGAGCTCCATCCTCTTTAGATTTAATGCATTTGAATAAGGTGACCTCTTTCAATAGACAACTTTTTCCTTCGAGCATTCTGAACTTCACTTTTCAACTACTGAGTATTAACAGTATAACAATGGTTATTTTCTAAAACCAAGAGAAATCTTTTTAAGACTTCTAAGATTGAAGGTACACAAAAATACTTATTAGCTATTAGTGCTACATCCAGTCTATTAACAGAAATAAAATGGTATTTCCTTAACTAAAGGTAGTGTGAAAACTGGGTACAGAGGTGAGAGGCAGTTCAGTCGTCTTCAGGAGCACTGTATTCTCAAGAGGGTAGCTTTGTGTGCAGGCCAGTGACAGTCAAGCCTGACCTCCCTTTCAACTGGGTGATGACTTGAGTCAGCCTTTGAGAAAGTTTTAAACTGTATCAAGCTCAGAAAGGAATATGTGACTAGAGTTAAGATTGAGAAGCTTGGCAAAGTGGCTACTAAATTTGCTGCTTATAGACCCTTCCTCAGACTGAAATGTCTTAATCCATTCATTTTCACAAGTGCCAAAAAAAACCCAGAACACCTGTCTTCCCCTGTGCTAGCTGCACAGATGTCTCTGCAGAGGCCTGCCATTCAGATATCTTACCCCGGGGACATGGACCAAAAATGTATTGATGGATGATGCCATTGCATTTTCTTAACTTTAAGAAAAACTAGGAGTAAAAAAACGTAAGTAACTAGAAGGGGCAGAGTTTCACCCAATAACAGTGACAGTATTCTCATCAGCAGTTTTATTAAAAATTCCTGACAAACATGTACTTTTTTGTTTATGACACAATATGCCCATTAAAATCATTTTCCTATATCTTGGTCTTTCTGTACGTAAGCAATCTGAGATGACAAAATGGCATCTTGGGATAACTGTAATTAGCTTTTTTCTTACTGAATGAGGTTGAACATCTTGTATGTCTAAGGCATCTTTCATAACTGGCCATTTTTCCATTGGATTAATGGTCTTTTATTAACATTGGTAGCTCTTTAGGTAATCAGCAATTAGCCCTCTGTTCTTAGAATTATAGAATCTGAAATGGTACTTCATGAAACATACGTGCACATTTTAAGGAATTTTCATAAATGAGTCTAAAGCAACCACCATCGAGGTTAAGAAATGGAGTATTTTCAGCACCTTGATATTCCATGTGTCTCCCAGTTACTGCTGCCCACCCCTCCACCCCACCACTATCCTGACTTTTCTGATAATCACTGACAGTTTACCTTATCGTCCTCTCTCCTGAACATGCTTGTAGTTTAACTTTGCATATGGAATCATACCATGTTAATTTTTTTGTCCTTTCTGGATATCGTTTGAGAGAAATCCATGTTGGTGACATGTCACTGGGGTGGTGGCTTTTCATTGCTGTTGTCTAGTCATACAGTGGAAGGCAAAGTTTGCTAAGTTCTTTATTCATTCTACTGCTGATGAGCATGCTGTTGCTGTGAACATTCTTGTACATGTGGAAGTTTTTCTTGGAGGGAAAGAGAAACTTCACCAGGTCATGGCAGATTGCTTTCCAAAGTTGCTGTGCCATTTTCCATCCTCAGTGGCAATGTGAAGGCTAACCTAACTTCACCCTCCTCCTCTGCATCTGATGATATCAGCTTGTTAATTTTTTATTTTTATTTTTTATTTATTAATTTTATTTTGGTATTATTAATCTACAATTACATGAAGGACATTATGTTTACTAGGTTCCTCCCTTCACCAAGTGCCCCCCCACATACCCGTTCACAGTCACTGTCCATCAACATAATAAGATGCTGTAAAATCACTACTTGTCTTCTCTGTGTTGCACAGCCCTCCCAGTGCCCCCCACACACACTATACATGTTAATCGTAATGCCCCCTTTCTTTTTTCCCACCCTTATCCCTCCCTTCCCACCCGTCATCCCCAGTCCCTTTCCCTTTAGTAACTGTTAGTCCATTCTTAGGTTCTGTGCTTCTGCTGCTGTTTTGTTCCTTCAGTTTTCTTTTGTTCTTATACTCCACAGATGAGTGAAATCATTTGGTACTTGTCTTTCTCCACCTGGCTTATTTCACTGAGCATAATACCCTCTAGCTCCCTCCATGTTGTTGCAAATGGTAGGATCTGTTTT